CTCTGAAAGGACCATGGTGCGACGTAGGAATTGGAGCCAATGATCCTACTCTTTCTCTGAGAAGCCGAAGATTTGTGGTCGGGCAGCTATTGTCTTTAGAGTCTGATATGAAATCACCGGGGACAGTGAGGGGAGCGCCATAAACAAGCTCAGCTGACGATGCCGTAAGATCTTCTTTCGGAGCTGTGCGGATTCCCAATAAAACCCATGGAAGCACGTCCAACCAGTTTGAATCATTGAGTCGTGCCTTAATGGCAGATTTCATTGTTCGATGAAAACGTTCTACCAAACCATTTGCCTGTGGGTGGTAGGCTGTAGTGTGATGAATTTTTGTTCCCAATAATTCGGCAACAGCAGACCAAAGGCCTGAAATGAACTGTGATCCTCGGTCAGAAGAAATGTGAAGTGGAACACCAAAACGGGCAACCCAATTTGACAGGAAAGCTCGGGCACAAGACATAGTTGATATGTCTTTGAGGGGAATGGCTTCTGGCCACCTTGTGAAACGATCTACTATTGTAAGAAGGTAATTGTATCCTTGTGATGGTGGTAAAGGACCAACTAAGTCAATGTTGATATGGTCAAAACGTTTGTCTGGCATTTTGAAATCTTCTAAAGGGGCCCGTATATGACGATTTATTTTAGACTTTTGGCATTCCAGGCATGTTTTGGCCCATTGTCCAATTTGTTTGGAAAGACCATGCCACACAAATTTTTGTGAGATCAGTTTGCGAGTGGTACGTATGCCTGGATGCGAGAGCCCGTGAACCGCATCAAAAATTTTTCTGCGCCAGCTGGCAGGCACTATAGGTCGTGGTCTACCCGTAGATACGTCACACAGCAATGTAAATTTGCCGTTGCAAAAAGGGACATCTTCGACACGAAGGCCGGTGATAGCAGTGCGGTAAGCCTGTGTATCCTTGTCGTTTAGTTGATCTGTGGCCATAATTTCATAATCGATGCCGTCATTGATGTCGTTGATGACCGCGCGCGACAGGGCGTCGGCGACAGTATTATCCTTACCGGAAATATGTTGTATATCTGTTGTGTATTCAGATATGAAATTGAGGTGACGCTGTTGTCGCGCTGACCATGGCTCAGAGACTTTTGCCATAGCAAAAGTGAGGGGTTTGTGATCTGTAAAAACCGTGAAGGGTCGTGCTTCGAGAAAATAACGAAAATGTCGTATTCCTAAGTAAACGGCCAAAAGTTCCTTGTCGAATGCACTGTATTTCGTCTCGGGTTTGCGTAGCTGTCTACTATAAAATGCAATTGGCTTCCAAGATCCATTTAACTTTTGCTCGAGAACACCTCCTAAGGCAACGTCCGAAGCGTCGACTGTGAGGGCAGTTGGTGCGTTTGGTTGTGGATGTGTAAGCATAACTGCATTTGCCAGTACTTTCTTAGTTTTTTCAAATGCACATATCATACTGTCAGTCCATTCGGGCAAAACCTTCGACTTCTTGGGCAGGCCGGAAAGTGCTGCGAATAGTGGTTGCATTATTTGGGCAGCTTTGGGCAAAAACCGATGATAGAAATTAACCATGCCAAGAAACTCTTGAAGGCCTTTTACAGATGAAGGGCGAGGGAAATTAGTTATCGCCTTCACTTTATTGGGGAGAGGAAAAGCACCCTCTTTTGTAACAGTATGTCCCAGGAACTCTAATTCGCTTAAACCGAATTTACATTTGGCAGGATTGATAACCATACCGTGACTTTTTAGCCTTTGGAAAAGATTTCGCAAGTCCTTTTTGTGTTGATCTTTAGACGTACTGGCGATAAGGATGTCGTCAAGATAGACAAATACGAAAGGCAAACCTCGACAGATGGTATCCATTAAACGCTGGAATACCTGGGCGGCGTTTTTAAGCCCAAACGGCATGCGGAGAAATTCAAATAGGCCAAACGGTGTGATAATGGCAGTTTTGGGGATATCTTGTTCATGAATAGGTATTTGATGATAACCGCGAACAAGATCCACTTTAGAGAAAATTGTCCTTCCCGCAAGACGGGCCGTAAAATCTTGTATGTTTGGGACTGGGTAGCGGTCAGGCACGGTCATATCATTGAGACGTCTGTAGTCTCCACATGGGCGCCACCCGCCGTCCTGTTTAGGTACGATGTGAAGCGCAGACGCCCAGGGGCTATTTGAGGGTCGGATGATTCCGAGTTCAATCATGTTATCAAACTCTGCCTTTGCCGCGGCTAGCTTATCGGGGTGCAATCTTCGAGCCTTTGCGTGCACCGGGGGGCCTTCTGTAACAATATGATGCTTTACCCCGTGTGCAGTGGTCGGGTTGCTGAATGTGGGGCGCGTTAAATCAGGAAATTCGTTCAGAATTTTGGCAAAATCGTTTTCGGCTACGTAGTGAAGGCAAGGCGGGGTGCCAGTAATCGTTCTGGTTGGAATACAAGCGTATGTGCTTGCCTCGATAAGTCGTTTGCCCCTGATGTCAACCAAAAGTCCGTGAGAGCGCAAAAAATCTCCCCCGATAATTGCCCGTGAAACATTGGCTAATGTGAATTTCCAGGTAAAATTTCTACCGCATATAGTCAAAGGCACTTTTCGTGTGCCATATGTCGTAATTGAGGTGCCATTAGCTGCCAAAAGTGCTTGTCCTGGTCGCCCGTAACGACGGTCATGACCGGTGGCAGGCAGCACGCTGACTTGTGCACCCGTATCAACTAAAAAACTGCGTCCAGAGTTTTTGTCTGTGACGTAATAAAGGTTTGAATCGCCGACCGCCAAAGAGGTTACTGACGGTCGGCTATGGCGTTTTCCGAAACCACAAAAGAACATGGCGGGCGACATTTTTTGGCTTTCTTGCCGAATTTCCTGTGATAAAAACACATTTCAGACAAAACATGAGATGGTTTGAACGAACTGGTTTTTTGTACAGCGTTTGTCACCTCATAGCCTTTTGCAGTTAAAATATCATCTGCTTTCCTTGCCAGCTTCCGAAAATCGTCGCCCGTGGTTGTTAAAATGTCTGTAAGTTGAGACCGGACGTCTGGTGGCAGATGACTGACGAACAAATGGCGAAATAAGAAATCAGGTGTCTTACCTACTGGATACAATGCAAGCATGTTGTCCATAAGTTCCGTTGCCGTTCCATCCCCTAGTCCAGGCATTGAACAAAGGCGCGCAGCTCGTTCAGGATCCGTTAGCGAACATTTAGTAGTGAGCTTCTCTTTGAGATCTTGGTACTTGTTCGTTTCCGGCGGGTTATTGAGAACATTAAGAATGCTGGCAGCGGTATTGTCATCCAGAGCGGCAACCACGTAGTGGTATTTTGTTTCATCTGTTGTGATATTTCGAACAGCGAACTGCGCTTCGACTTGGTGGAACCAAACGGCAGGATTTTTAGTCCAGAAAATCGGCAGCTTTAATGATACCGCTGTTAGGCCTACTTTGTTGTCTTCACTCATATTCTTCGTTATGTGCGTATTCTTTTCTCAAAAGTATGCTTTTGAGGTCGGGGTCACCATTTGAAGCGAACTAACTTCTTTCTAACAAGAAAAAGACTTTGAATTATGTTGATGTTTAATCCATAACAAAGCAATGTTAACGACAAGCGAACAGAAAACAGAATGACAAGTTATCGTAAGAAAAGCACGTAAGTAATCATGCGTGACAAAAACATAAACAAAACAATTGTGACTCATAACGGCTATTATTAGTTAAGTGGTTCGCCACACCGGCTCAGTTATTCTATTTCTGAGGAACTCTGCTCATTCAGCAATAATCAATTTCCTGCTTATAGACTATTTTTAATAGTTTGGTTAATTCGGATAATTCCTGAACCATTTGCTTAAGTTTCATTATATAAGCATCTAAATATCTGATGTAGACAAAGTACGTCATAACCAGAGCAGGTAACCAAGCCCTTTCTCCGGCCCAATCGCTATGGATTTTCTGGGTTAGGAAGACTTCATCCCAGATCGGAAAACCAAGTTTTGTCCTAATCCAAAACCTAGATACTCCCGTATTATGTGAACCAAGATGGCGGACACCACGAACTCGTAATAGAACTAAAACAGGGAAAATTGATATAAAATTACGGCCTAATATATTCCATACAATATTCCAGCGTCCACCATCTTGGTTCACCACATACGACGGAGCGCCGATTTCGGCCTTACGTGCAACGATTTCTGATTTTGACGATGTATAAATACTATCGTCCTAGTGCGTTAACTTTCTATCAGTTTTAAACCGCGCCCCTAATAACAAAATGTTCATTTTGTTGACGAACAAAACGTAATCCTATTATATAATATTATCCCAATTGTCTTACGTGTTCCGCTCGTCTCATAAGTAACCGATGTTAACGGCAAAAGTTTTAGAAACCTTTTAGTCTCCCAAATCCTTTATTAAATTTTTTGTTGTTTTGAAAGATGTCTTTGATTAAAATACAATACCAATGAAAATTTTGTGTTATTTGTTTATTGAGCATTGTACTGTGACCCGACAATCCCTAAAACTCGTTGAAGTATAGCCATATGTATGACAAAACAAAAACTATCTCAGCAATTTATTGACAATGCGTCATAAAAATTATAGTCGGGTGTGCGTTATGGTCCATAAAATTCTGGAATCATTCAAATTTACGGAGTTAATGTCAAAAGCGCGTTATGTTCAATCGCTGATATCGCTGTTTGATATATAGCATATTCTTGAATTCAATGCAATAAAATTTGACATGACTTTTGCACAGTTGACGTTCTTTTTTCAATATTATTATTGGATTATTTAAATGCACAGGATATTATCCCAAATAAATATATTTAAATTACACCATTCTTTCTGAATGCAAAAATTTAAACGAAGAGTTCATTTGCATACATTTTGGAATATTTACCTTGCATTTTGCATCAAAACATATAATCTCGTAAAGTACGCCTGTGTATAGAATACAATTAAAACATACTCTGATACGATTAATTTTTAAAATGTATTAAATAAAAAAAATTTGAACAACAATATTCTAATTTCTTACTTGCAAAGAAAAATCAGTTGCTCCTTGTGCAAATTCATTCAGCTTTTCACATGTCAGATCACAGATACCAAACTGCACTATTCCTGCTTCAACAGTTGAGGCAACTTGAGCGAATTCATGAAATGCTTTTGGCTCCATGATCTTGTCTGCTAGGTATAAAGTATTGATCTGAAAAATAATTATGGAAATAATAATTTTAATGTAATTATGAACTTTAATTACTCTGAATACAATATATTTTATACATAAAGATAGTAAAATTTGAATATGTATTTGTCGCGAATAATTTATATGGGTAAGATATTAAACAGCCGGAAGATTCTAACAATATTTGTTAGTCGGGGTCTGTGGGGTCATATACTCGTAAGTATATAGAAAATATGGTGACCTCAAATTAACACAGATCTAATAATTTGATAATTACTCAGATTTAAAAGAAGGGAGTTTATTTTGTTTACACTTCAACCTACCAGTAATATAGGTTATGCGTTTCAGAAAAGTTATATTTAGAATATGTTCCAAGAAATTCCTCAACCATAACGACAACCTTGCATCCGCTGCGCAAAGTTGTCAATTATCATTTTACTATAAAATTTTATAAAGGTTTTAAATATAACACAAGTATTGTAGTATAATGTTACGAAAGAAAATGTGAGTGTTTGAACATGTGAAGCGTATGGCTGCTCGTAACTTGAAATATTCGATAAGCCATAAAAAAATTACGGAAAAAAAAACTATTCCTCTTGTTGCTGCAAAATACAAAAACTCGGAAAGATTTTATTTGATGCGTTTGGCATTTTTTCTCCTTTATTAAACTAGCCTTAATTAATGCAAATGCATGACATATTACAGGATTCTTAGGGCTGCATATGATAAGTGCTCAGCATGAGATGTGTAAATGTACCTTCTCGTGCGATTGCAATATACACGCATTAACAAAATAATAATTTTTTAGAGGAATTAACTTTAGTAAAAAAATAAACCAACAATGTTTTCCAATGCAAGCGTATTTAGCGACAGATAAATATTGTAAATTGTTTTATATTATTATATTTGTGTTCGGAATATCTAACACTGAAACCACATATAATAGAGTATATAAATACAGCTATATCTTGATATAAATTTATTGTTTTTATTTGCAATCTAAAATATTACCAACGTAAAACTTTTGTAAGATCAGAAATAATTTAATTCGAACCAATAATAATGCATTGATTATTGTTAATTGTTGTTAAATTACATCCATACATGTCTTATGTAATATCGTCCTGGGACTGATCAGCCTCATTGTTCGCGTAAAATATATAGATTTTTCATAGTGCGTTAAATCATTTAACGGCCAACGCAATCATACTTATCGGTCAGTGTTTTAAAACAAGGGTATCACGGTAAATCGATGGGATCACAAAAAAAAATTGGCGGATCATTGAGCATGACATTTATAATATAAAAAAAAAGATAATGCAGTTCAAACCGTTAGGAGTGATACCAACAGATTTGAATTCCAAATATAACCCGAGGATAATCCTAACACTATCATTGCGTCCATTGTATAATGTAATTTAAAATTTCCTGGTCCATATGGAGCAATGACATTTTTCCGATTTTATTAATTCATGCTCTTATTTATACAAGAATCGCACAAAACTACCCGAACTCAAAGAAAGAAATATAAGTGATTTTATTCGCCACTCATTTCAAAATGTCGCGCATATAATATCCATTAAATTAGACCAAAAAAACATATTTAAGCAACAATCTGGAGAAAATTGTTGCGAAACAGCTTAAATTTACGGATAGTTGATCAAAACAGCGTTAATTTAATAAATACTTATGTAAATCGCATGTGAAGAAAATGTAATTCAAAACTCATCAAGTGTGATTCACATTTGAAAATACAAAAACATTATAAAAAACGTTATCAACAAGTTTACATTATCTTACTCTTAAGCCACGGTCAGCAGCTCCCTGCCTAAATACTTTCAGTTTTTCACTTGTTAAACTACAGTTGATGAACGATACTTGTCCTGCATTTGTAATTGTGGTAACTTCAGTAAATTTGCGGAATGCTTCACCCTTCATGGTTTTGTCAGATAGGGTTAACGTATCGAACTGTAAAATAAATATTCAACGATTATATATATATGGTTAGATATGGTTATGATATATTTCTAGCATGATTAGGACCAAATAAAAATGACCCTAGCGATGCAATTTATAGGATGATTTGAATTCTTGAGCAAAAAATTTGTATACTTTTGAAACACAACTATATATTAAAAGTAAGTTTCCGTATAACATTGGGAGGACAAAGATAAGTCTCGTAATACAACACAAGCGTCCATATTTTTGAGAAATGCTTTACTGGCCAAATTAAAACTTAAAACTAGGACATTTGAATTTTTGAACTTTTGTTGTAATTTGTCGTTTTTAAAAATGTTTAAAAAAATCATTGTCAGCGCGCAAAACTTTTCTTGTTTTCCTTGTGTTTTCCTTTTCTATTTATCAAAAATTCATTGAATATCCAAGAAAAGGTAGGAAATCATTTTATTTTAGTCTAGCAGTGTTTTTGATTATGCAAATGATGCAATTTTAATGTTTTTAAGAGATAGTATTCTACCTTATCAATGTTGTAATAATATGTGTCGTTTGTATTGTACTGTACTGCTCGAATAAACGTTGATCGACTTTTTCAGTATCTCGAATGTTTTTTTTTAATTTTTGGTTATTTTGTAAGATTTTTTTGATTTAAATACAATAACCAAATCAGGAAAATATTCATAGAGTTATGTTATTTAATAGCTTTGTAATGTATCCCGATAATCCTTTAAAATAGTTGCGCCTAGCCCGATTCGCCGTAAGTTTGCACAAAATCCAGTTTGAGCAATTTTTAGAGAGTGCGCCTCATTATCCGCTGCGCTTTATAGGCATAGCCTGGTGCGCCTGAAATCCAATTTAAGCAATTTTAGAGAGTGCGCCTTATTATCCGTTGCGCTTTATAGCCTGGTGCGCCTGAAATCCAATTTAAGCAATTTTAGAGAGTGCGCCTTATTATCCGTTGCGCTTTATGGTCCCTAAATACGGATATCAATAAAACTCATGTAGTTACATAAATGTCAAAAATGCGATAACTAACGCGCCATAATCATATACGAAGTTAGAAATATTTTTTTTATATTCGTGAATTTAATTATAATGAATTGGGCGCGATATTCACTGAGTTGGGATTCTTCTTAAAAAATATTATTGTCGTATTTAATAGCGTACTTTTTTTTTATCGAGTTTAAGAATGCATTATAATATCATATTTCATTCAATCTATACTAAACTTTCGGAATGCAAAACATTTCAAAACATTGACAACATTATTTCAACTTCTTACTTTCAAACCAAAATCAGTTGCTCCTTGTGCAAATGCATTCAGTTTTTCACTTGTCAGATTACAAACATCAAACTGCACTTTTCCTGCTTCAACAGTCGAGGCAACTTGAGCGAATTCATGAAATGCTTTTGGCTCCATGATCTTGTCTGCTAGGTACAAAAAATTGATCTGCAAAATATATAATAAAACTATTAATTTTAATATAACAATGATCTTGTTGTAGTTATCCCGAATGCAATATATTTTTTGCTCAAATGTAATAAAATTTAAATGCGTATTCCTCTTGTGAAATAAATTGAATACCTACAATATTCTAACAATAATTAATGATGGTTTGTACTATTTCTCTAAAATAAGTCGCGTATCTGAATAGATTGTAAACATACTTTTGTGTCGTATACGTCACGTGGTTCTAACTGGCATGTCCGATTAAAGCAATCATAAATATAGGTAAAAGGGTGACACCAATTAACAGAATCCAATAATTTTGTAAGTACTTCTAAAAGAAGTGAGATTTATTTTTTTACACTTAAACTTCTGTATAATTGCGCTCAGACGTTTGAGTAATCTTGCATATGAATTACCAAAAACGTTTAGGATGATGCGGCAAATCATTTTACGGTTCCTAAGAGTTTGGTGAGAATTCCACTCTGATACTGTTATATATTTCAATCAGCTTTCAACGACATCAAGGCACAGTTACACTGCTCCATTTTTATTTTAGATTTTTATGTTTTCATTTCAAGTATAATATGAAAGATTTTGTTTTCTATACGGCATTATAGGCGAGAAAGTAATATAATGCAAAGTAGCATATAGTTCGTAAAACAGTCTGCAGTTGCGCTCCCGAAAGAGACAAGACGTTGCGAGAATTGAACAGATCAATTGCATTGTTATGTCATAAACGATGTCAGAGTCAATAGCTGAATAACGGTACACAACGGTGCAGTCATGCGTCAAAGATTGGGGGTTTTGAAATTTACCTTTCCAGCCCGGAAATTTAGCAATTTGAATATGAGCGATCGCCGCCCTGACTGCCCAACTGACGGTACATTATAAAAGTTTAGTTATTGTTAGATTACTTTAGGGCGGGTTTATCAATGTTATCACTGATATGTTAGCATTATATTTTTTTTTATTCGTGCCTTAGCAGGTCACAAATAAAACGCGGTGCGTCACATTGTGACCCGCGGGTCCGTGGTTTGTCATCCCGGTTATTTACAATAATATTCAACGTTTCAGTCGAAATCTTTGTGCAGTTTTCAATTTGAAGAAATCAATAAGAATCATTTTTAATATTTTTTTTTTATCGCAAATTGTTTTTGTATATATTAATTACTTATAATTGTGAACTTATAATTGTGAAAAAAATAGCGCTAAAAAGTAAGAATAATACCGTTATCGCAATGGGGCGTCCATATTTTTTGAGCGTTTGCATTTGGACTTTTTTTTCTATAAATTTCAACTGTCTACATCGTTTTTGATGAAGCACAAAATCACAAATCTATGTCGTGCAACAAAAATTTCTTGCTAAAATTTCTCATATTTTTTTCGTTGACCAAGTTCGCTAGTGAAATAGCTCTGACGAGAATGACAAAAACCGCAACAATATTGTTTTTTGTTTGTTATGGAGTTGAAATTTAAACAAAACACTCAATTACTAAAAGATCATTTATTGTCAACAGACAATAAATGTACCAGGGATATTTTAATTTACATGATCATATCCATACATAGATCTTACCTTCCTAAGATTAATCAGGCTTTCGGCTCGCGTGAAATGTATAGATCTTTTATAGCGCGTTTAAGCCGGTTAACGGCGCGCCTAATCATACTTTTTAATTCAGTGTTTACAAACAATGGGGTCACGTTATAATATTAGTGAGTGCCAAAAACGACAAGTCCGTTATTTTTATTTTTTGTTAAGGAATGCAAAACCGTATTTGGCGTTTTGTACCCATTTAAAAAGATTTGTCATTGTACAAAAAGATATATTCCATTTTCAATTTACTAAAATTGCATAATCCAAAAGTAAAACCATGAGTTCATATCGAATTTAATAATAAGAATCCAAAAAATGAAACAGCCAATTCTAAGTAGCAGAATATTCATATACATTTGCCGCCAAAGTGATTGTTGTCAATGCGGAAGAATTGTTTCGAATTTTTTTTTGGAAAATATTTGGGTTAAACAATGATTTCAAAAAAATAAATATTCTTGTATAGTATTTTTCTTCTATTATGAAACGTAAATTTATCTTGACTTCACTCCATGTCAAAGATGATAAAGTATAACAAGTTCTCATACTGAAGGCAAGTTCTTGGATCACAAGACGTAGAGAGGAATAATATCAAGACTCTGGATAATTTGCGGAAATATAGTTTACCGACTTCTAAGCGATATTCACGTCAAAATTTTTTAGTGATTTTTTAGTTTCCCTAATCTTTTATTTAATTTTTGATTGTTTTGAAACATTTATATGATTAAAATACAATAACCATAAAGATATTTAGTCTTTTGTGTAATGAGCTTTGTACTGTAACCCGATAATGCCTAAAAATCGTATAAAATACTTTTAAATCAATTTATCATAGCCATAAATAAAATTTACGTATTGAATAAGGGTTTTAGATATAGCATATCATGAATTCAATGCAATAGAATTGTACATGGCTATTGCACCATTGACGTTCTTTTTTAAAGATTACCATTGAGCGGTGAAACTTGCATTTGTTACGTAATAATATGCTCTATGGGGCTTGCCAACACTCAACTACTAAGTGTGAGTGTGTGTCAAAGTACAGTGCTGTAATATTCCTGTTATAAAACACACCACATGCGCTGCATTAAACTAGTTCAAAGCATTTTTTGAGGTATTATATTGAATTTACTAAACATTAAACGATCGACTACTCGAGACGTGGCGATTGACTTGTTGGCCACCCCTGGATCATATGAAACTCAGTGCAAAAAAGGATTTTTATTGAAAGGTATCAATATGTATTTTTCACGGGAAGTCGCAACTTGAGCATATTTTTGGAGGACGTAACAATACAATGAAGTTCGAGAACCAACAAGTCCTAGTCGACAGATAAAAATCTTTTCTACTTTTTAAATGGTTAATAATCTATATGTAGCAGTTATTTTAAATAAAACGTGCAATTAAATTAGTAAATGAATATTGGTATTCATATTTTGTACAATAAAAAATCTCGTTATTTTCTACATCTCCCAAAAATGAGCCCTGGTGTTCGAAAGAAAATTGAAGACAGTTTCTTATTTTTGGGGAAACATAGTATGATGATGTATTCACTCGGAATTCCGAAATTATTGTTTTACACTATTTTTAATAATCCTATAATTTACTGATTACGACTTTTAAAAAAGGGAGATTTAGTTTGTTCACATTTGAACATCAGTTTGAGTATAATTGCGCTCAAACGATTCAGAAATCTATGGTGCATGTTCTCTCTCTAGAATATGTTTCAAAACACCTCCTCGACGTTCGACACATCATTGCATCTGTTGCGTAAAGTTGTCAATTACCATAAACCTTACCATAAAGCAGGATAGCATGTCTTATTTCAATTTTTGTATCTATTTTGAAAGAAAAAGTAAGTATTGTCAGATAGAGTAAATTTAGGCGTTTCAGTCCAAATCTTAGCTCATTCATCGATTTGAAGAATTTAATCCGAATCATAATCAATAATTTTTTATATTTATGAAATATTTTATACTTTAATTTATAAAAGGATGGGCTGAAAAGCACATATATTATTCTCAAAATGTGCCTTTTCGATGCAAAAAAATGCGTCGTCGAAATGGAGCGTCCTTATCACTCTAAGAAATATTTACCGGCAATCGCCTGGCATTCCATATAGCAGGAATAGAGTTTTGAAAATCTAATGTGATTTTAGGGTAAAGATTACTTGAATTTTCGGTAAAATTGCTGTAGATCACCTGTGAATTTTACAGCGGTATTCCGACACGACGTAACGGTACTTAGCAGACGTGATGCGTACATTTTTTGGCGCGAAAAAGCGGATTTTGTAACATTCCTAATTCATAACTGCAACGTTTTGATAACAGCTAAACTCAGGATAGTTGTCGCCGGATGGTGATTTCGATCGCCACTCTTCCAAAATGTCGCCGCATATAATATCCATTGAATTGAACAACAAACATATTAAAGCAACAATCTGTAGAAAATTGTTGCGAAACATCTTTAATATACGGATAGTTGATCAAAACGGTGTTAATTTAATAAATATTCATGTAAATCGCATGAGAAAAAAATGTAATTCAAATCACTGGTGTTATTCACATTTGAAAATACATAGACATGATAAAAAAACGTTATCAACAAGTTTACATCTCCTTACTTTTAAGCCACAGTCAGCAGCTCCCTGCCTAAATACTTTCAGTTTTTCACTTGTTAAACTACAGTTGGTGAACAAAACTTTTTCTGCATTTGTAATTGAGGCAACTTCAGCAAATTTGTGGAATGCTTCGCACTTCATGGTATTGTCAGATAGGGTTAAATAATCAATCTGTGAAATAAATATTTAACGATTATATTGATATAACAAGTATATTGTTAGCAAAGATTTATTTCCAATATGTATAGGTTCAATTAAAGATGCCTTTATTCGACATATGTATAGGATTGCTTAAATTCCAAAGCGAAAATTTTGAATATTTTCAAAACAACACTATCAAGAAAATTCTTTTGCGGATGAATCAACATTTATCCCTAACCAGACTCTAGTGGTGAAATGTCAATATATTTGCTTCTGTACTTGATGCCACTGGGGAAAAGTTTGCGACAAATATCTTATTGGTTTCGTTTGTATTGTTTTTAAAACGCTTAAAATTGATTAATTTTGATCGGGTTATCAATTTGTTATTTGCTTTATTCACCGAAAAGGAATCACCACAGGATAATGTTACAGAGGTTGTTGTTTCTCAAGTTCAATCTTTGAAATAATTAAATCATATTATGAATATTTTTTATGAATTCATACTCATGCAGAGGGATAATGTTGTTATAAGGAGAATAAATACGAACCAATATGTTATTATTATCTATTATACTTAAGCTAAACGCGCAACGATATCTGACTTTGGCAATGTATACATACTATCGTTCTAGTACGTTGCCTTCCTATAACATTTAAACCGCGCTTCTGATGACATAATGCTAATTTTTTTGACGAACAAAAAGCTTGTCCTAATTTTCTTACGTGTTCCGCTTTTCTCATGAGTCCATTTGTCTCACGAGTTCCAAACGAAAAACACATATGTGCAGTCCCACCTCCTGCTACGTTTTCAGGTGCTTCTGAGGTATGTGCATCAAGATGGCGCACAACCTGAACATAGTATGTGTACCAGATAGAGTTATCAGGTTTTGCGCCATCTTGGTGCGTATTCTTCGGGAGCGCCTCCTGCTACATTTCCATGGTCAAGATTTGTAATATTAAGTTATTTTGTGGTCCATGGCCCAATTTGAACTAAATCCAGATTCAAAAATATTATTTCACAGTGTTTTTGAAAGACGTCTCTTGGCCGGAATTAGACATTTTGCTTGTAAGTATATTAGTTGGTTTCGTTGTTTGGTTAAACACAGTGAACAACAGTTTAGTGCAGTGTTTCCCAACCCGAGTCCGCGGTCTCAAATGAGTCCGCGGAGCGTTTAAATGAGTCCGCAACGAGCCAGAAATTTACTGCGGGTCGCAAAGTTTTTGCGAAACTCAACTATCAGCCAAGTTACGATTTACGTTAGAATTTACATAAAACATAATAAGCAAGTTTATACACATAACATTAATCGAGTCAAAAATTACAGGTTACTGAGTAGGGCTGAGCATATATTCAACTATTAAAATATAAATTTACTATTCGAAAATTTGGTAACAGGTGACGCGACGGGTCACTTGCGTGCCGCTTAATCAAACGATCGGATTTCCCAACTCACTTGCGGATTTCCGACGAGAACACGAATCTGCACACGTGTCGATAGATACCTAAATGGTGTTTCGCGAGTTCGAACAACGAGGAATAAATTTTTTTTCTGATGCTAAGTGTCAATGGTGGCAACCCAAATTTTTTAAATTGAAAAGCGGCAATACTAAAAATAAAACGGAGAACACCTTAAGTTTTGTTTTATGATGGTCCGCGATTAAAAACGCTTTTTTAGACACTACAAATCGCAAAATTTCGGGTTCTGCCGTAGTATACGTACTAGGGCATTTTCCCTCAGGATTCCTTGGATTTCCCTCAGGATGCCTCCACATTGGTACGAACAGCTCAGATTTGTCGAATTCACAAATATACGAATTAAAACAAAATATAATCAGGCACTTTCACGCATTTTTGTGTCAACGCATTGTCATGATATTTTTTGTGTAGTATTGCTTTTATTTTGTCAACACGTCCGCAAATTAAAATGATCACAACTCAATTAATAATAAAGCAAGGCGATGAATATGTATTTTTAATTTACTGATATACTTCAAATGTATTTTTAATTTATATTTAGGTGCTAAATCAAGTTGTACTTTCTGGAAATTTATGGCAGATAGCCGGGTTTTTGTAACGACGATAACAAATTCGCAGGATCGCAAAAAATACGTATCCAAACTAAATATCTAAATATCATCGGGCAATATATTCTCACATCGTCATAGTCACAGATTGCCTCGCCATTTTAATGCAGTAATGCTTTCATGTTGTCGTAAATCGAAGCAACAGCGAGTTACCATGAACACAATTAAATTAAAATAGAAGGACATTTTAAATTCTTGTCGTCGTCATTGGATTGAATATTGTGCGACAGAAAAGGCCATTTTATACACTAAAAAATTCGGCTCTTCTAACGAACGCGTAATTGCGGCGAATTTCCGATTTTGAAATTCGTTAAAGTTCTGTTGTGTTTGGTTTTATTGCTTTTCACACAGAGTACGGTTGCAATAAACGCTCATTGAGTCCGCAAAGGTTTTCGTCGTTGAGAAAATAGTCCGCGACCCAAAAAGGTTGGGAAACGCTGGTTTAGTGAGTGCCAAAAACGACACGTCCGTTATTTTTATTTTTTTTTAAGGAATGCAAAACCGTATTTAGCGTTTTGTACCCATTTAAAAAGATTTGTCATTGTACAAAAAGAAATTTTTATATTCCATTTTCAATTTACTGAAATTGCATAATCCAAAAGTAAAACCATGAGTTGATATCGAATTTAATATTAAGAATCCAAAAAATTAAACAGCCAATTCTAAGTAGCAGAATATTTATATACATTTGCCGCCAAAGTGATTGTTGTCAATGCGGAAGAATTGTTTCGAATTTTTTTTTCGAAAATATTTGAAATATTTGGTTTACCAATGATTTCAAAACATTGAATATTTTCGTATAATATTTTTCTTCTAATATGAAACGTAAATTTATCTTGACTTCACTTCAGGACAACGGTGATAAAGTATAACAAGCTCTCATTATGAAGGCAAGTTCTCGGATCACAAGACGTAGAGAGGAATAATATCAAGACTCGGGATAATTTGCGGAAATATAGTTTATCGACTTCTAAACGATATTCACGTCAAAAATTTTTAGTGATTTTTTAGTATCCCTAATCTTTATTTTAATTTTTGATTGTTTTGAAACATTTATATGATTAAAATACAATAACCATAAAGATAGTTAGTCTTTTTTGAAATGAGCTTTGTACTGTAACCCGATAATGCCTAAAAATCGTATAAAAACCTTTTAAATCAATTTATCATAGCCGGGTGCTCGTTTTGTCCGTAAAATACTGAAATCAATAAATCTCACGGATTGAATAAGGGTTTGAGATATTGCATATCATGAATTCAATGCAACAGAATTGTACATGGCTATTGCACCGTTGACGTTCTTTTTTTAAAGATTACCATTGAGTTATTTAATACCCTACTTTTCAATTGATCAAAATGCACAAGACATTATTTCAAATAAATATATTAAAATTAAACCATTCTTTCTGAATGCAAAATTTCTTTCGCCTATCATTTAGGATAATTTATTTTACATTTCACATCATAACATCTAATTGCGTAAATTACGCCTGTATACAGAATACAAATAAAAACACTCTGATACAATTAATCTTTAAACGTTAAACCGTAAACCACCCGGATTTATTGAATTATTTTTTTTTAATTGTGGAACGCTTCACTATCGCAGCGAGGTTGCAGCTTTCGAAATGTAAGCAATATTTTGTCACTTTCAAATGCCGCACAAGGTCGTAGGAAAATGTATTTGCTTCCACGCGGGACCATAAAAAAGTGTCAAAAGTGTCAATACAGCATCCCTGGTCACATTGGGTAATGGAAGGTTAGTCTTCTTTTTTATTTAATCAAAATTTACAAGACAATATTACAACTAACACAACAACTTTTCTGAATGCAAAACCCAAATGAAGACTTCATTCTCATACATTTCGCAATATGTACCTTGCATTTTACATCTTATTATATATACGGTACTCGTCTTTAAAGTACGTGTGCGTAATGAATACAATTTAAAAACACACTCTGATACGATTGAATAAAATAAAAAATTAATAACAATACTCCAACTTCTTACTTTCAAAGAAATATCAGTTGCTCCTTGTGCAAATTCATTCAGTTTTTCACTTGTTAGATTACAGACATCAAACTGCACTGATCCTGCTTCAACAGTTGAAGAAACTTGAGCAAATTCATGAAATGCGTTTGGCTCCATGATCTTGTCTGCTATGTACAAAGTATTGATCTGCAAAATGAATATGAAAATAAAATTGTAAATTATTTAAGAAATTGTTAGCTTTTATTACTTTGAATGCAACATATTTTATGCATAAAGATGATATCACTTCAATGTGTATTTGTCGCGAATATCAATTTTATGAAGTATACTAAAAAGCTGCAAGATTCTAATAATTCATTGTAATAATTTAAAAACTCGACGTTTCTACGTTCGAGACATCCTCTCATCCGGTACGCAAAGTTGTCAGTTGCCAATATACCTTACCATGAAGCATGATAGCATGTCTTAATTCAATTTTTTATGTGTTTTTGAAATAGTAAGAAAAAATCATGAAGTTATAATCATAATAAATATTTCTATATCAAATAAATGCTGTAAATTGTTTTTGTATATTATAATTTCTCATGATCATAAACTTTTTTAAACAATATTTATAAAAAAAAAAAGCTGAAAAGCGTAAATATTATTCTAAAATGTGCTTCGTCGTAATGCGAATGCCAAAAAAATCCGTAATCGTAACGGAGCGTCTAGAATGTTTTTCGTTGGACACGTTAATTCACGAAATGGCATTGATGAGAAGGCCGAAAACTGCAACAACTTTGTTTTTTTTGTTTTAAAGTTTGGATTTGAAGAAATCACCCTATATCAGGGTTTCCCAGACTTTTGTGCTCCCGGCGCCTTAAAATATTTTAAAATTTTTCGTGGCCCTTGGTCAGCGCTAATAACGCTAAACAGTTCGAAATATCGGTAATAAAGTCGCGATCAATAATAAGGTCATGCAAAAAAAAAAAGTACGAGTACTGAACATACAGATAACATCATTTATTTGGGATTTATTCAAATCATTCAGATCTAAAACCTTCCTTATTTTTTAGCCGTAAGTGTTGAAAATTTTTCAAAAAAAATGCCTAGTATTCATGTATTATCTAAACAGCAAAAAATAAATATTCCCAAACCATAAATGTTACATGACATCTCGAACTTCAGCATTGGAAAAATTGGACATTCTGATGCCACTGCTTCATCGTGGCGAATAAAATTTATCATACTACTCACGCAGCAATAAAAAAAACTTTCGTATACTTCGAAAGTTATTGTAGGATCGCTAGTCAGTCAACCCACACGATGTTCGACAAGTTCATTTCTAAACCTTGGCAGCGGTGAAATTTGCATTTGTTACGTAATAATATGCTCTATGGGGCTTGCCAACACTCAACTACTAAGTGTGTGTCAAATTTTGCGCATGTACAGTACTGTAATATTCCTGTTACAAAACACGACACATGCGCTGCATTAAACTAGTTCAAGGCATTTTTTGAGGTATTATATTGAATTTACTAAACATTAAACGATCGACTACTCGAGACGTGGCGATTGACTTGTTGGCCACCCCTGGATCATATGAAACTCAGTGCAAAAAAGGTTTTTTATTGAAAGGAATCAATATGTATTTTTCACGGGAAGTCGCAACTTGAGCATATTTTTGGAGGACGTAACAATACAATGAAGTTCGAAAACCACTAAGTCCTAGTCGACAGAAAGAAATCTTTTCTACTTTTCAAATGGGTAATAATCTATATGTAGCAGTTATTTTAAATAAAACGTGCAATTAAATTAGTAAATGAATATTAATATTCATATTTTGTACAATAAAAAATCTCGTTATTTTCTACATCTCCCAAAAATGAGCCCTGGTGTTCGAAAAAAAATTGAAGACAATTTCTTATTTTTGGGGAAACATAGTATGATGATGTATTCACTCGGAATTCCGAAATTATTGTTTCACACTATTTTTAATAATCCTATAATTTACTGATTACGACTTTTAAAAAAGGGAGATTTAGTTTGTTCACATTTGAACATCAGTTTGAGTATAATTGCGCTCAAACGATTCAGAAATCTATGGTGCATGTTCTCTCTCTAGAATATGTTTCAAAACACCTCCTCGACGTTCGACACATCATTGCATCTGTTGCGTAAAGTTGTCAATTACCATAAACCTTACCATAAAGCAGGATAGCATGTCTTATTTCAATTTTTGTATCTATTTTGAAAGAAAAAGTAAGTATTGTCAGATAGAGTAAATTTAGGCGTTTCAGTCCAAATCTTAGCTCATTCATCGATTTGAAGAATTTAATCCGAATCATAATCAATAATTTTTTATATTTATGAAATATTTTATACTTTAATTTATAAAAGGATGGGCTGAAAAGCACATATATTATTCTCAAAATGTGCCTTTTCGATGCAAAAAAATGCGTCGTCGAAATGGAGCGTCCTTATCACTCTAAGAAATATTTACCGGCAATCGCCTGGCATTCCATATAGCAGGAATAGAGTTTTGAAATTCTAATGTGATTTTAGGGTAAAGATTACTTGAATTTTCGGTAAAATCGCTGTAGATCACCTGTGAATTTTACAGCGGTATTCCGACACGACGTAACGGTACTTAGCAGACGTGATGCGTACATTTTTTGGCGCGAAAAAGCGGATTTTGTAACATTCCTAATTCATAACTGCAACGTTTTGATAACAGCTAAACTCAGGATAGTTGTCGCCGGATGGTGATTTCGATCGCCACTCTTCCAAAATGTCGCCGCATATAATATCCATTGAATTAAACAACAAACATATTAAAGCAACAATCTGTAGAAAATTGTTGCGAAACATCTTTAATATACGGATAGTTGATCAAAACGGTGTTAATTTAATAAATATTCATGTAAATCGCATGAGAAAAAAATGTAATTCAAATCACTGGTGTTATTCACATTTGAAAATACATAGACATGATAAAAAAACGTTATCAACAAGTTTACATCTCCTTACTTTTAAGCCACAGTCAGCAGCTCCCTGCCTAAATACTTTCAGTTTTTCACTTGTTAAACTACAGTTGGTGAACAAAACTTTTTCTGCATTTGTAATTGAGGCAACTTCAGCAAATTTGTGGAATGCTTCGCACTTCATGGTATTGTCAGATAGGGTTAAATAATCAATCTGTGAAATAAATATTTAACGATTATTTTGATATAACAAGTATATTGTTAGCAAAGATTTATTTCCAATATGTATAGGTTCAATTAAAGATGCCTTTATTCGACATATGTATAGGATTGCTTAAATTCCAAAGCGAAAATTTTGAATATTTTCAAAACAACACTATCAAGAAAATTCTTTTGCGGATGAATCAACATTTATCCCTAACCAGACTCTAGTGGTGAAATGTCAATATATTTGCTTCTGTACTTGATGCCACTGGGGAAAAGTTTGCGACAAATATCTTATTGGTTTCGTTTGTATTGTTTTTAAAACGCTTAAAATTGATTAATTTTGATCGGGTTATCAATTTGTTATTTGCTTTATTCACCGAAAAGGAATCACCACAGGATAATGTTACAGAGGTTGTTGTTTCTCAAGTTCAATCTTTGAAATAATTAAATCATATTATGAATATTTTTTATGAATTCATACTCATGCAGAGGGATAATGTTGTTATAAGGAGAATAAATACGAACCAATATGTTATTATTATCTATTATACTTAAGCTAAACGCGCAACGATATCTGACTTTGGCGATGTATACATACTATCGTTCTAGTACGTTGCCTTCCTATAACATTTAAACCGCGCTTCTGACGACATAATGCTAATTTTTTTGACGAACAAAAAGCTTGTCCTAATTTTCTTACGTGTTCCGCTTTTCTTATGAGTCCATTTGTCTCACGAGTTCCAAAGAAAAAAACAAATGTGTGCCGTCCCACCTCCTGCTACGTTTTCAGGTGCTTCCGAGGTATGTGCACCAAGATGGCGCACAACCTGAACATAGTATGTGTACCAGATAGAGTTATCAGGTTGTGCGCCATCTTGGTGCGTATTCTTCGGGAGCGCCTCCTGCTACATTTCCATGGTCAAGATTTGTAATATTAAGTTATTTTGTGGTCCATGGCCCAATTTGAACTAAATCCAGATTCAAAAATATTATTTCACAGTGTTTTTGAAAGACGTCTCTTGGCCGGAATTAGACATTTTGCTTGTGAGTATTTTAGTTAGTTTCGATGTTTGGTTAAACACAGTGAACAACAGTTTAGTGCAGTGTTTTCCAACCCGAGTCCGCGGTCTAAAATGAGCCCGCGGAGCGTTTAAATGAGTCCGCAACGAGCCAGAAATTTACTTCGGGTCGCAAAGTTTTTGCGAAACTCAACTATCAGCCAAGTTACGATTTACGTTAGAATTTACATAAAACATAATAAGCAAGTTTATTCACATAACATTAATCGAGTCAATAATTACTGTTTACTGAGTAGGGCTGAGCATATATTCGACTATTAAAATATAAATTTACTATTCGAAAATTTGGAAACAGGTGACGCGACGGGTCACTTGCGTGCCGCTTAATCAAACGATCGGATTTCCCAACTCACTTGCGGATTTCCGACGAAAACACGAGTCCTGCACACGTTTCGATAGATACTTAAATGGTGTTTCGCGAGTTCGAACAACGAGGAATAAATTTTTTTTCTGAGGCTAAGTGTCAATGGTGGCAACCCAATTTTTTAAATTGAAAATCGGCAATACTAAAAATAAAACGGAAAACACCTTGAGTTTTGTTTTATGATGGTCCGCGATTAAAAACGCTTTTTTAGACACTACAAATCGCAAAATTTCGGGTGCTGCCGTAGTATACGTACCAGGGAATTTTTCCTCAGGATTCCTTGGTTTTCCCCCTCAGGATGCCTCCACATTGGTACGAACAGCTAAGATTTGTCGAATTCACAAAAATACGAATCAAAACAAAATATAATCAGGCACTTTCACGCATTTTTGTGTCCACGCATTGTCATGATATTTTCTGTGTAGTATTGCTTTTATTTCGTCAACACGTCCGCAGATTAAAATGATCACAATTCAATTAATAATAAAACAAAGCGATGAATATGTATTTTTAATTCACTGATATACTTCAAATATATTTTTAATTTATATTTAGGTGCTAAATCAAGTTGTACTTTCTGGAAATTTATAGCAGATAGCAGGGTTTTTCTAACGGCGGTAACAAATTCGCAGGATCGCAAAAAATATGTATCCAAACTAAATATCTAAATATCATCGGGCAATATATTCTCACATCATCATAGTCCCAGATTGCCTTGCCATTTTAATGCAGTAATGCTTTCATGTTGTCGTAAATCGAAGCAAACGCGAGTTACCATGAACACAATTAAATTAAAATAGAAGGACATTTTAAATTCTTGTCGTCGTCATTGGATTGAATATTGTGCGACAGAAAAGGCCATTTTATACACTAAAAAATCCGGCTCTTCTAACGAACGCGTAATTGCGGCGAATTTCCGATTTTGAAATTCGTTAAAGTTCTGTTGTGTTTGGTTTTATTGCTTTTCACACAGAGTATGGTTGCAATAAACGCACATTGAGTCAGCAAAGGTTTTCGCCGTTGAGAAAATAGTCCGCGACCAAAAAAGGTTGGGAAACGCTGGTTTAGTGAGTGCCAGAAACGACACGTCCGTTATTTTTATTTTTTTTTAAGGAATGCAAAACTGTATTTGGCGTTTTGTACCCTTAAAAAGATTTGTCGTTGTACAAAAAGAAATTTTCATATTCCATTTTCAATTTACTGAAATTGCATTATCCAAAAGTAAAACCATGTTCATATCGAATTTAATAAGAAGAATCCAAAAAATTAAACAGCCAATTCTAAGTAGCAGAATATTTATATACATTTGCCGCCAAAGTGATTGTTGTCAATGCGGAAGAATTGTTCCGAATTTTTTTTTGGAAATATATTTAAAAAAATATTTGGGTTAAACAATGATTTCAAAATATTAAATATTCTCGTATAGTATTTTTCTTCTATTATGAAACGTAAATTAATCTTCACTTCATCCCATGTCAAAGATGATAAAGAATAACAAGTTCTCATACTGAAGGCAAGTTCTCGGATCACAAGACGTAGAGAGGAATAATATCAAGACTCGGGATAATTTGCGGAAATATAGTTTACCAACTTCTAAACGATATTCACGTCAAAAATTTTTAGTGAATTTTTAGTATCCCTAATCTTTTATTCAATTTATGATTGTTTTAAAACATTTATATCATTAAACTACAATAACCATGAAAATAATTAGTTTTTTGTGTAATGAGCTTTGTACTGTAACCCGATAATGCCTAAAAATCGTATAAAAAACTTTTAAATCAATTTATCGTAGTCGGGTGCTCGTTTTGTCCGTAAAATACTGAAATCAATAAAATTCACGGATTGAATAAGGGTTTGAGATATAGCATATCATGAATTCAATGCAATAGAATTGTACATGGCTATTGCACCGTTGACGTTCTTTTTTTAAAGATTACCATTGAGTTATTTATTATCCTATTTTTCAATTGATCAAAATGCACAAGATATTATTTCAAATAAATATATTAAAGTTAAACCATTCTTTCTAAATGCAAAAATTCTCTCGCCTATCATTTAGGATAATTTACTTTACATTTCACATCATAACATCTAATTGCGTAAATTACGCCTGTATACAGAATACAAATAAAAAACACTCTGATACAATTAATCTTTAAACGTTAAACCGTGAACCACCCGAATTTATTGAATTATTTTTTTTTAATTGTGGGACGTTTTACTATTGCAGCGAGGTTGCAGCTTTCGAAATGTAAGCAATATTTTGTCATTTTCAAAGGCCGCACAAGGTCGTAGGAAAATGTATTTGCTTCCACGCGAGACCATAAAAAAGTGTCAAGACTTTATGGTTTTCACACGGCACATCGATACAGCATCTCTGGCCACATTGGGTAATGGGAGGTTAGTCTCCTTTTTTATTTGATCAAAATTTACAAGACATTATTACAAACTAACACAACAACTTTTCTGAATGCAAAACCCAAATGAAGACTTCATTCCCATACATTTCGCAATATGTACCTTGCATTTTACATCTTATTATATATACCGTATACTCGTTTTTAAAGTACGCGTGCGTAATGAATACAATTTAAAAACACACACTCTGATACGATTGAATTAAAAAAAAAAAATTAATAACAATACTCCAACTTCTTACTTTCAAAGAAATATCAGTTGCTCCTTGTGCAAATTCATTCAGTTTTTCACTTGTCAGATTACAGACATCAAACCACACTTTGCCTGCTTCAACAGTTGAAGAAACTTGAGCGAATTCATGAAATGCGTTTGGCTCCATGATCTTGTCTGCTATGTACAAAGTATTAATCTGCAAAATGCATATGAAAATAAAAATTGTAAATTATTTAAGAACTTATTAGCTTTTATTACTTTGAATGCAACATATTTTATGCATAAAGATAATATCACTTATATGTGTATTTGTCGCGAATATTAATTTTATGGAGTATACTAAAAAGCTGCAAGATTCTAATAAATCATTGTAATAATTTAAAAACTCGACGTTTCTACGTTCGAGACATCCCTCATCCGGTACGCAAAGTTGTCAACTGCCAGTGTACCATAACATAAAGCATGATAGCATGTCTTAATTCAATTTTTTATGTGTTTTTGAAATATAAAGAAAAAATCATGAAGTAATATTCATAATAAATATTTCTATATCAAATAAATGCTGTAAATTGTTTTTGTATATTATAATTTCTTATGATCATAAACTTTTTTAAACAATATTTATAAAAAAAAAAAAAGCGTAAATATTATTCTAAAATGTGCTTCGTCGTAATGCGAATGCCAAGAAAATCCGTAATCGTAACGGAGCGTCTAGAATGTTTTTCGTTGGACACATTAATTCACGAAATGGCACTGATGAGAAAGCCGAAAACTGCAACAACGTTGTTTTTTTGTTTTAAAGTTTGGATTTTTGGATTTGAAGAAAACACCTTATATCAGGGTTTCCCAGGCTTTTGTGCTCGCGGCGACTTAAAATATATTAAATTTTTCGTGGCCCTTGGTCAGCGCTAATAACGCTAAACAGTTCGAAATATCGGTAATAAGGTCGCGATCAATAATAAGGTCATGCAAAAAAAAAAAGTACGAGTACTGAACATACAGATAACATCCTTTATTTAGGATTTATTCAAATCATTCAGATCTAAAACCTTCCTTATTTTTTAGCCGTAAGTGTTGAAAATTTTTCAAAAAAATGCTCAGTATCCATGTATTACCTAAACGGCGAAAAATAAATATTCTCAAACCATAAATGTTACATGACATCTCAAACTTCAGCATTGAAATAATTGGACATTCTGATACCACTGCTTTATCGTTGCGAATAAAATTTATCACACTACTCACGCAGCAATAAAAAAAACTTTTGTATACTGCAAAAGTTATTGTAGGATCGCTAGTCAGTCAACCCACACCATGTTTGACAAGTTCATTTCTAAACCTTGGCATCGGTGAAACTTGCATTTGTTACGTAATAATATGCTCTATGGGGCTTGCCAACACTCAACTACTAAGTGTGTGTCAAATTTTGCGAAAGTACAGTACTGTAATATTCCTGTTATAAAACACACCACATGCGCTGCATTAAACTAGTTCAAGGCATTTTTTGAGATATTATATTGAATTTACTAAACATTAAACGCGATTAGCTACTAGAAACGTGGCGATTGACTTGTTGGCCACCCCTGGATCATATGAAACTCAGTGCAAAAAAGTTTTTTTATTGAAAGATATCAATATGTATTTTTCACGGGAAGTCGCAACTTGAGCATATTTTTGGAGGACGTAACAATACAATGAAGTTCGAGAACCAACAAGTCCTAGTCGACAGAAAAAAATCTTTTCTACTTTTCAAATGGTTAATAATCTATATGTAGCAGTTATTTTAAATAAAACGTGCTATTAAATTAGTAAATGAATATTGGTATTCATATTTTGTACAATAAAAAATCTCGTTATTCTCTACATCTCCCAAAAATGAGCCCTGGTGTTCCAAAGAAAATTGAAGACAATTTCTTATTTTTGGGGAAACATAGTATGATGATGTATTCACTCGGAATTCCGAAATTATTGTTTTACACTATTTTTAATAGTTCTATAATTTATTGATTACGACTATTAAAAAAGGGAGATTTAGTTTGTTCACATTTGAACTTCTGTTTGGGTATAATTGCCCTCAAACGATTCAAAAATCTATGGTGCTTGTTCTCTCTAGAATATGTTTCAAAACACCTCCTCGACGTTCGACACATCATTGCATCTTTGCGTAAAGTTGTCAAGTGCCATAAACCTTATCATAAAGCAGGATAGCATGTCTTATTTCAATTTTTGTATGTATTTTGAAATAAAGAGTAAGCATTGTCAGATAGAGTAAATTTGAGCGTTTCAGTCCAAATCTTGGCTCATTTATCGATTTGAAAAATTTAATCCGAATCATAATCAATAATTTTTTATTTTATGAAATATTTTATACTGTAATTTATAAAAGGATGGGCTGAAAAGCACATATATTATTCTCAAAATGTGCCTTTTCGATGCAAAAAAATGCGTCGTCGAAATGGAGCGTCCTTATCACTCTAAGAAATATTTACCGGCAATCGCCTGGCATTCCGTATAGCAGGAATATAGTTGTGAAATTTTATTGTGATCTTAGGGTAAAGATTACTTGAATTTTCGGTAAAATCGCTGTAAATCACCTGTGAATTTTACAGCGGTATTCCGACACGACGTAACGGTACTTAGCAGACGTGATGCGTACATTTTTTTGGCGCGAAAAAGCGGATATTGTAACATTCCTAATTCATAACTGCAACGTTTTGATAACAGCTAAACTCAGGATAGTTGTCTAGATATAGAAATCTTCTATATTTGTTTTCCTATAATGTTCTCGATCTATATTCTGCGATATAGATATAATTTAATATTCAAGTCTTCAGAAAAGTAGAATATATATTGTAGAGTAAATTGAATGGATTTCCCAACTTTTGTGAATTTATTGTATTGCCCGGACAGAAATATTTGTCTTGCCCGTTTCAACACAGTTTGAGTCATACCCGCCCCGCGGTAAAAAAAGTTTCTCAGTGATTCCCAAAGTGGGCGATATCGCCCCCCAGTGGGCGAAAACGATACAGAGGTTGGCGAAAAAGTGTAAGGGGCGATAGGGGGGCGATTTCGCTAAACCTGTTTTATGTTCGGCGCACTTAATTGTGTACTCTGCGTGCATTCGCAGGCTTGAATCACGTGGGCGATTATCACACGCGAAAGGATTTCTGGACTCGTCTTCGCAGTAAGGTACGGTAGTTTGGGTATCCCAGTGGTCGGCAAAATACGGCCGGAGTAAAATAATCTGGCCCGGGACGATTCACTGAATGGACCTTTCCCCGACCTTTGACCGCGGAAAATTCTTCCCATACTTTACCATTTTAAAATTTTCGGTGCTTATTTTAAGAGTGGTTTCGCGAGTTGTTGCCTGTAAAATGGGGTATTTGTTTAAAACTATCATTCTAATACACACCATTCAACAATCTGTTTTTTAAAAGTACCGATAAAGAATTTTAGCCTAGTCTATCACAGCTATTTCTACACTAATTTTTGATTGCTGTATTTAAACTGAAACTCATAGAAAGACGAAGTAATCATTGACTTATTTGATTTATATTTAAACTCCGAAAAACAACTAAAAACTAACGAATATATTTCAAAAACGCGAAAATGAGGTAATGTTCACGACCACGCCTGAAAATCTGTCTGAGTGAGAGTGTCTGATCGCCTGAGCGCATGCGAAAGGGGGCATTGTTACGTTTTTGCATCTTGCTGATTGGCCAATGTCACGAAGTAAACAAGAAGTCTATGCCCGGGGAAACATCCAAACTGCGGTTTTGACCATGAATTTTTTTTTTTATAATCTACGCTCGAGGAGTAAATTACATTTTTTTACGTAACAGAATTTATCGTGAGACACGTTTAGACTAAATTATACTATATCCTAACAATTTAGTGAACAGCCACTCGTTTAACAAGCCTGCAATTTAATTATAATTAGATAAATGGAAACACGCAGAAAAGTTGATGCTGAGTGCAGGGGTTCAATAGCGCAGTAAATATTCGAATAAATTGCAGCAAAGCAATAAGGAAATAAGATTCGTATTCTATTCGAGAGATTCATCACTGCTTAATTTTTGTAAGAACGTATCTTCTTAAAGAAAATATTTCCCAAAATTTCACAAATCATGCGAAAATATCCACTTCGATGTTTGGAAGTACATATTTGTGCAAACAATTATTTTCGAAAATGATCATTACAAAGAACAAGCAAAGAAGTGGGTTTAGTGATGCCCATTTAGACAATGTTTCAATCTTGGCGTCGTAAAGCTATTCAGCGTGATGCAGCAAAAAGACAGTGTCACATTAAATGTCATTGTAATATTTTTTCAATAAGACGACTGAGTTGAGTTCAGGAATTGTCGCAGTTTTCGCTCGCTGTTCCGTATTTAACTTTCAAAAAATACATGCGACCCGCAAAAGACTAGCAAACCCTGAATTTCGTCCTGCGAGCGACATAAAATTTGCTGACCCCTGGGCCGTAGCCGATAGTCGATCACGGCTCCTTCCACTTCCGAGTCCATGAATCCAAAACAAATGGGATGAGGAATCAGGGATGAGTTTTTCCGAAGTATTTTGGTGCAGGTCATCAGGCTGTACGAATGAATGAGATGTACGCAAATCATTATTATAAGTTTCGGAACATTAACTTTGTTTTCATTATTTTAATGTGAAATGGGGTGAATTTAGGAAGTGAAATGCAATAAGGCAAGAGTACATGGCGGTTTTCGAGGAGATAGAACCCTGGATTCTTTCATTTCCGACCTTATATATGGTAAAAAAGGGGTTTTCAGCCGTGCTGCTATTGTAACACTATGAACTATGATTTGTCTTCTTATTTGGTCTGTAATATATTCGTTTCTGACTTTACATTTCGTGTATTGCCGGGGGGCGATGAAGTTGTATAAACTACTTAAGGGGTCGATGGTCATAAAAGTTTGGGAACCACTGATCTAGCTGACCTGATCTAGCACATAATCGCAAATATATGTCTTTCAAATCTCAACTTTCCTTGTTAAGAATTCCCAGATATTTTTCTTTGTACACGTTGGTTAAAATGATATAGCCTGGACAAGAATGACAAAAATCATAAAAATGCTCTTTGTTTGAAATGAAGTGGGGAATTGAAAAAATCACTCAATACCTCTTCAGTTTTTAACATTATTTCGGAAATAATTATTTATAAAGTATATTCAA